AGTTCAAGGCGCGCGGCCTGGCCTCAGGCTGAGCAGGGGTCAGGTCTCCTTGCTCTGGCAGGAAGGGGTTTTGCCCAAAACTAGGGGAACGTGCCACCCGAGGTGTGCAGCTGGGGGGGCTCAGGCCCAGCTCCACTGTGTCAGAGCCCAGGGCCCTAACAGCAGCGATGCTGGCTGCCACTTGCTCAGTGAGGATCCTGACCAGGTTCACTTCCCCATCCAGCTACCCTACGCTGCTTCCCAGTCTCCCTGTGGGCCTGCCTGGCTTGGGCCCCGCTCCTCCAGGTCTGCCGAGGGCGTTTCCATTGGCTCAGGGTCTGGGTTGCTCAGCCAGTCTTCCTCCTCGGGGGCGTGTCCGAGCGTGCCCCCTTGGGAGCTTGGGCAAGGTACCTGGCTTCCTCTGCTGGCGGAGCCCCTGCCGACTGGCTTCCCCCACGGAGTCAGATGGACGCAAGGCAGATTGATCTGTGTGTGCAGTCAGGGAGGCACTGTCTGTCCCTACGGCGCCGCAGAGACCAGACTCCCCAAGGGTCCGAAATGTCCCTGCTTCAGGCGTGGAAGTGCCTGCGACTCCAGCTGCACTAGAAATGTACTCAGTGTAGTGACTGGCTTTCAGAAGCCGTCCCACAATGCACCACACTCACACACCATGGATACAAGCGATTGAGTTAGCTGACATAACTTCGGTGGTCCTGAGTTTATGGTGTAGACGTGCTCCCGACATTGGTTGCTCTGCCAGATTCACAATGGCAACACGTGAGCCTGGAGTGATAGTTGTGCTTTCCTTCTGCTTTGCGCCTTCTCCCATGCTATTATCTCTGAAGGATACCAGGGCCGAGTACCACGGCTGCGTGACTGTTCAGGAGCGAGAAAAAGCCACACCCCCTGAATAATGCAGTCTCTCTCGCGCACACTCACACACCCACCTCCTCCTGGGGAGATGGAGTACTATGGGAGAAGGCTGCTTGTTGCCATAGCACCATACCTGCACCGTGTGGCTGTTCCGCTGCAAAGTCTTCAGTGTAGGCCTGCCCTGGCACTACAGGTGTGATTGCTATTTCCTGTCATGCCAGTGTTGTCCATGATTGGACTTGTGCAGTGCAATGTCCTCCTCCACCGCCTGTCATCTGTGGAGAAGCTGTTTCCTCTCTGCGGCTCTGCCCCTTCTCTTGTGCTGAACTGCAGCTGGCTTAAATATCATAGCAGTCCTTTGCTGCTGCCTGCCCCCGGGTGACTTTCACCCTGACTGCAGTCATGATATCAACAAACTATCGTATAGTAGCACCTCAGAGCGCCACATCTGGGAAATGCAGGTTGTGCGTAACGGAAACGTTTGTAACTGTGAACAAAATCTTATGGCGGGTCCTTCCAGCGTTTACACCCGAACACTGACTTCATACAGCTTTGAAACTGTACTCCTCAGCAGAAAAACGCTGCCTTTAACCTTCATTTTAAATGAAACAAGCTCAGAAGCCGTTTCCTTACCGTGACAAATCTTTTATTTTGTAATGTATTTTGTTCCCTTTATTTTGAATACTTTGTTTAACACAGCACTCGACTGAATTGGCTTTTTGCAAGGGATGGGTCCCCGCTGCCGCTTGCTTGCATGCTTCTGCTTCCACACGAGGGGTGAGGTTGACTGGTCCGTTCGTAACCCTAGTGTTCATAACTCCGCAGCTCTGCTGTCTGAGGAATTAAGCTAATGGGACAGCGATGTAGCAGGCAGGTGTGTGTGCCCTGCAGCCCTGTTTTGGCCTGTTATTTTTCGCCATCATGTGGCAGAAATGTGCATTGTCACTTCAAGTTAGCCACAGATTCCTATTCTGCACCTCAGCATGGAGGAAGCACAAAGCCAGCCTGCTTAGCCTTTCTGCTCAAGCCATGGGTCTTATTGACCCTTCTTGGCTGCATGGACGTATCAGGCCAGATGTTTGCAGCACAACTGTACCTTTCATACAAGCTGTACCCAAACCACTGTGAGGGGAAGTGACCCTAAGGCCTAGTCTACAGCTCCATGAACACTGAGAGCACTCGGTGCTCAGCTTATTGCGTCTATACAAGAGGCGCTAAATCACCCCCGCTGGATTGATCGCTGCCGGTCTCCAGTGGATAGTGAAGACCTGCCCTAAGGCTTTGTCTGGGCTAGCACCTTTGTCAGTTGTAGTGTGGAAAAGCCCACACCCCAGCTGACATAAGTGTCTCTGACAAAAGTGCTGGTGTGGACAGTACTGTATCGGTAGGTGACATAGCTGCTACTGCTTGGGGGGGTTAATTCTGCCAGTGGGGAGGGCTCCAGCACAGCTGCCCAGGAGACCTTAGAGCAGTACAGCTGCAGGGGTGCACTGTGCCGCTTTGAGCTGTGTAGTGTAGACACAGCCGTGGGAGCGGAGGAGCAGAGCAAGGCAGGGGAGCTGTGCTCAGTTGCAGTTGGAAGGGATGTGCTTGCGATGTGGCAGGAAGAGAAGGTGGTGGTGTGAGTGCGGCGAGAGTGTGACTATCTCGTCACTGGCCCAGCTGAGGACGTGGAGGGAGGGGACAAGAAAGGTGTGGTGGAAGGATCATAGGTCCAGACAGAGCAGGTCACTAGAGGGTTTTAAAATTAAGACAGGAAATATTGACCTGTGCCCAGAAATGAGGGGGAGGCTAGTGGGGTGATCTGTGTGTGCATACAGTGGGGCTGGCTGTGCCAGCATGCGCTTTGCTCCTCTCCTGTTGAAGCACAAGGAGATGAGTGTTACTTCTTGTCCAGCATGACCCTGCCTAGAGGCCAGTTCTTCCCGTCATTCCCACCAGGGGTGTTAGCACCCACCCCAACCGGTAAACCGAGATGCTGATGCTGCTACACTCAGCTGGCTCCCAGGCAGGCGGCTTTGCTGCAGCAGGGCAATGAAGCAACGACCCTGGGAGCTGGGTCTGCAAGAGCTGGCGGCCCTGCTCCAGGAGAGGCTTTGGGCTCTGCAGTATTAAGCTAAGCTTTGTACTTCAGGGCTCGGACTTCCAGTGCTGACGCCGCTGCCTCGCACACCGGTTTCAGCGCTCCGGTGCCGTGTACTGCAGGGCCTGCAGCGCAGGGAGCTGTACCGGCGAGGACTTGCAGCGCTGCCGCGCACACCGGTTTCAGCGTTCCTGTCGTGGACTGCAGGGTCCGCAGTGCAGGGAGCTGTACCGGCGAGGACTTGCAGCGCTGCCGCGCACACCGGTTTCAGCGTTCCTGTCGTGGACTGCAGGGTCCGCAGTGCAGGGAGCTGTACCGGCGAGGACTTGCAGCGCTGCCGCGCACACCGGTTTCAGCGTTCCTGTCGTGGACTGCAGGGTCCGCAGTGCAGGGAGCTGTACCGGCGAGGACTTGCAGCGCTGCCGCGCACACCGGTTTCAGCGTTCCTGTCGTGGACTGCAGGGTCCGCAGTGCAGGGAGCTGTACCGGCGAGGACTTGCAGCGCTGCCGCGCACACCGGTTTCAGCGTTCCTGTCGTGGACTGCAGGGTCCGCAGTGCAGGGAGCTGTACCGGCGAGGACTTGCAGCGCTGCCGCGCACACCGGTTTCAGCGTTCCTGTCGTGGACTGCAGGGTCCGCAGTGCAGGGAGCTGTACCGGCGAGGACTTGCAGCGCTGCCGCGCACACCGGTTTCAGCGTTCCTGTCGTGGACTGCAGGGTCCGCAGTGCAGGGAGCTGTACCGGCGAGGACTTGCAGCGCTGCCGCGCACACCGGTTTCAGCGTTCCTGTCGTGGACTGCAGGGTCCGCAGTGCAGGGAGCTGTACCGGCGAGGACTTGCAGCGCTGCCGCGCACACCGGTTTCAGCGTTCCTGTCGTGGACTGCAGGGTCCGCAGTGCAGGGAGCTGTACCGGCGAGGACTTGCAGCGCTGCCGCGCACACCGGTTTCAGCGTTCCTGTCGTGGACTGCAGGGTCCGCAGTGCAGGGAGCTGTACCGGCGAGGACTTGCAGCGCTGCCGCGCACACCGGTTTCAGCGTTCCTGTCGTGGACTGCAGGGTCCGCAGTGCAGGGAGCTGTACCGGCGAGGACTTGCAGCGCTGCCGCGCACACCGGTTTCAGCGTTCCTGTCGTGGACTGCAGGGTCCGCAGTGCAGGGAGCTGTACCGGCGAGGACTTGCAGCGCTGCCGCGCACACCGGTTTCAGCGTTCCTGTCGTGGACTGCAGGGTCCGCAGTGCAGGGAGCTGTACCGGCGAGGACTTGCAGCGCTGCCGCGCACACCGGTTTCAGCGTTCCTGTCGTGGACTGCAGGGTCCGCAGTGCAGGGAGCTGTACCGGCGAGGACTTGCAGCGCTGCCGCGCACACCGGTTTCAGCGTTCCTGTCGTGGACTGCAGGGTCCGCAGTGCAGGGAGCTGTACCGGCGAGGACTTGCAGCGCTGCCGCGCACACCGGTTTCAGCGTTCCTGTCGTGGACTGCAGGGTCCGCAGTGCAGGGAGCTGTACCGGCGAGGACTTGCAGCGCTGCCGCGCACACCGGTTTCAGCGTTCCTGTCGTGGACTGCAGGGTCCGCAGTGCAGGGAGCTGTACCGGCGAGGACTTGCAGCGCTGCCGCGCACACCGGTTTCAGCGTTCCTGTCGTGGACTGCAGGGTCCGCAGTGCAGGGAGCTGTACCGGCGAGGACTTGCAGCGCTGCCGCGCACACCGGTTTCAGCGTTCCTGTCGTGGACTGCAGGGTCCGCAGTGCAGGGAGCTGTACCGGCGAGGACTTGCAGCGCTGCCGCGCACACCGGTTTCAGCGTTCCTGTCGTGGACTGCAGGGTCCGCAGTGCAGGGAGCTGTACCGGCGAGGACTTGCAGCGCTGCCGCGCACACCGGTTTCAGCGCTCCTGTGTCGTCCGTGTGCAGGCCACACTGGCCAGTGGATAATGTTCCTCACTTGCCCTGGGTCTCTTAGTGTGTTTACTGTTGCGCCACTTTGGAAAGAGGAGATACTGGCATGTGCCTGACTAGGGGCAGTTGGGTGCTACGTTGATGGTCTGTCTTCTGGCTATTTTCTGCAGCCCAGAGTCCGTGGAAGCTAGTCCGGCTGTCGATGAGAAGAATGTGTACGCCAGTCATGGCTACGAGGCCACGCAGAGGCCCAGCTATCGAGGGCTGCCGTATGCAGTGAGTACGCACTCCTTAATCTGCGGTAACCAGCCCCTTACTTGACACTCTGCTGCCTCGTGCCTTCTACATTTCCGGCCCCCCCCTCCTGTGACATTGAACTGTTGGTAGTGCAGCTCACACGTTGTAGTCTGTGTTCCCGTCTCCGAGACGGTGGCAGCGTGTGGGTTGGGGCATGCAGTGTCCTATCTCCTGCCCCCAGCTTTGTGCCTTCCACTTAGCAACAGCTTCTAGAGATTTTCAAACTGTGGGGCCTGGGTCATCTCTGTGGGCGACCCAGCCTGCTTTGGCTAGGCATGTTGCAAGCAAACTTTGGCTCTCAAAAGAAAGGCTCAGCTCAGAAAATTTTAATTGGCCTGCTAAGTTGGCCCAGAGTCCCACTGCACAGGGCTGGACTTGCAGCTTGACCCTCGTAATGTCCCTCCACACCCTTCTAACCCCTCAGTCTGAAAACCTCTGTTCTAAATAAAATGTGTTGTCTTCTGTTACAGGGTTTTTCTCGCATGCCTCCTGATGAGCTTTGGCATACCCCTGGGGGGGGGGGGGGTGTCTACACTCAAGGCCCTGTCTTCTCTTCAGCAAGCTTGGTGTAGATTCAGTGGCAAGACCCCCTGGTTCCGAATGGTCGCGCGTTCCAATTAGGCGCGCGCCCGCTGCATGCACGGTTGCTGGAAAGTTTTTCCCTAGCTGCTACCCATTGGGTTGGCTGTGGAGCCCTAGAGTGGCTCTATGTATGACCCTGCCAACACAACCACCCATCAGTTCCTCCTTCCCTCCAGTGGTGGCTGCAGGAGCTGTGGCTGCCTTGCACTGCAAGCGCCATGTGTCCTCAGTCATTGTAGCAGCCGGAGTGAAGGGGTTTCCCCTTCTCGCCATGTTCTCTCTGGGACCTCAGGCATGCCGACATCCCAGGGATTCAAATGCTGCAGCTCTTGCCAGACATCTGTGGCACCCGTGACCTCCAGGACTCCTGGCTCTGGTACCTGGGGGAAGCCCACCAAGCAGAAAGTGCCAGATCTTCAAGCCTTGGACGAGAAAGTGGCTGCAGAGGCATGACACGGCACCCAGTGCTTCAGCGCATACGGCTCGCGGCATTCACCAAAGCCCTCCGCCCCGCACTGGTCTCTCTCTGGCACGGCCTAAAGCAGCCACGTGCTCCTTAGTGGCGCCAGCAGTGCCTCCAGCCTCTATGCCCTCAGCATCCACAGGTCCCAGTGGTCTTCTGCACCAAGGAATGGAGGAAGCCAGCCACGCGGGGCCTTCTTGCCCCAGTCCCAGTCAGCGTGCCCGCTTGGAGGCTCAGCACACCCAATCGAGCACCATTCTTACAGCCGGAGCTCTCGGAGCCGCTCCTGCCTGAGCCTCCTGGGCGAGCAGATCCCGGCTGGGTTCGAAGCTGTCACATCACTTCAGCTAGGTGGCTGGAGCACATGACCTGTGAGGAGAGCCGGAGGGACTTGGGTCTGTTTAGTCTGCAGAAGAGAAGAGGGAGGGGGGATTTGAGAGCAGCCTGTAGCTGCCTGAAGGGAGGCTCCAAAGAGGCTGGAGAGAGGCTGTTCTCAGTGGGGGCAGGTGGCAGAACGAGGAGCAATGGGATCAGGTTGCAGTGGGGGAGGTCTAGGTTGGAGATTAGGAAAAACTCTCCCCCTAGGCGGGTGGGAAGCGCTGGGCTGGGTTCCCTGGGGAGGGGGGAGTCTCCATCCCTACGGGTGTTTAAGTCTGGCTGGGCTGATGGAGTTGGGTTGGTCCTGCCTTGGGCAGGGGCTGGACTCGATGACCCCTGAGGGCTCGGCCAGCCCTGGGGTTCTAGGGTTCTGTCTGCGCGCTGACTGACACCGTGGGATCCATGCCACCACTGGGCTTCTGGCTCCTCCGTCCAGCAGTGTGACCGAAGTCCCTCTCGGCCCTCGCCGAGGCGCCTCTCCTCAGGCCTTGGACATTCCCGAGGCGTGGAACCTTGCCCTGGCAGCGTTCCTCAGTGCCTGCTGCTTTGCCACCGCGCCAGGGCGCTCTGGGCACTGCTCTCCACAGCAGTCTGAGTCCTGGCGCCAGTTCCGTCTCCGCATTGTTCCAGGCACCACATGTGCTTCTGCAAAAGATCTAGGCCTCGTCTGTCACCTCGTGGAAGAAGTCCGGCACTGAGTGACCCGTCGCTGGCGCGGTGCCACCTTGGTTTCCTCACTTGGCTTCCGTCTCGTCCCTCCTCAGGACTGGTCGATGCCAGCAGGCTCTTGCCTCAACAGGGACCAAGAAGTCCCCCACTGGCCACTGCATCCCACCAGGCCCAGGGCATGTTGCCCACTGGTCTGTCAGCCACTTCTAAGCCCCAGGTTCAGAGGCAACTGTCAGCTGCCTACTACTGGGGTCAGCGCCACCCAAAACCTGGCATAGCCCCTCAGCACGAGCCCAGGGCAAGGAGTCCAAGTACCCACTTTGATGTGCACCTCCATTATGGGCCCTCCTCCCATGGAGTTCTGCTCCACCGTGTGGCCCTGTAGCCTTCACCTCGAGGTGGCAGAGACGGTGGACATCCTGGCCCTGCTCCCAGTTATCAAGTCCATCCTGATCGCAGCCGAGTCTGAGACAAATCCCTTCCTCTAGCCCCTTGCAGTGGGTAGAAAAAAGACTTGATCCTTCTCAAGGGGGTTGAATATTTGTTCACTCTCCCCACCCCCATTCCTTGGTGGTGGACGCAGTAAATGAAAACGAGCCTCAGGGCCATCAGGCTCTGGCACCTAAGTCAAAGGGGCCAAGTGATAAGTTAACTCGGGGAACTGCTCCTCTGGATAGCGAACCAGCAGGCTGTGCTGAGTCGCTCGAATGCCTGGACTTGTTCCCTCAGGACTCCAGATGAGTGTGCTGCTTTGGTCCAGGATAGAAGGTGGTTTCCTGAACCTGCCTCTGAACATCTCTGGACGCTGGAGACTCGGCAGCTGGGTTCTCTTCTCCAGCATTGCCATGCACTGGCTTGCCTGGCTCCAATGACATTGGGGCTTATCCCCAAGATGCGGCAAACCTATTCGGACTTTGTTTGATGGAAGTGGGCCTTTTTGTGCAACAAACCAACTCACGGCTGCATAGCCTCAAGAACGCATAACGCCATGAGGTCCTTGGGCATGCAGGTCAGGCTCCGGGCAGTCTGCCTCGCTCGCTTCACTTTCCTACCTCCTCTTTGGGGGAGGTGTGCGGCAGTCCTGACAGACGGTATGACCACCATGTACTGCATCAACAGACAGGGCGGAGGCTGGCCTGCCCCTCTCTGCCCCTCTCTGCTTGGAAGTCCTTCATCTGTGGGACTTGCATCCCTCCCAGGGGTCCAAAACCTGCTGGCAGATTGCCTCAGCCGCTGCTTCCTTGCTCACAAGTGCTGGGTCCGATTGGATGGCCTCCACCCCATTTTTCCAGAAGAGGGGGTTTCCCCGGCTCCATCGCTTTGCCACTTGAGCCAATCAGAAGTGCCTTGCACTAGGGATGTTACATTTTGATTAATTGGCTAATCGAATAGTCGATGCAATTTGCTTGGACTACTTGATTAGTTGATAAGGGTGCCTCTGCCTTTAAAGTGTAGGAAACCTTTCTGATAGAGGCAGCAAGGGGGGAAGTGACTAGTTAGTTGACTCGTGTGTCGACTGTCCGATAAGCTTTTGCTTATGGGGTCGTCGACTAACCCTTCGCACCTCTAGCCTGTACCGGAGTCTTCCCCTGGGATCCCTAGTGGACACGTTCTTGATCCCATGGCAGACCGGCCTCCAGTACGCCTCCCCCATTTCTGCTGGCTCACAAGGGGCCCTCAAGCTCCACAGGGAGTGTGAACGCTGTCCTGCTAGCACCAGCCAGGGCCTGTCAGCATCGGTACCCCACTCTTGGGAGCTGTTGGTACAACCGCTCATTCCCCTTCCTCTGACCCCGGACCTCATCCCGCAAGAGCACCCGGCCTTTCGGCCCTTGGCCTCACAGCACGGTGGCTTCGCGGCAGCTGGCCTGCTCGGAACTGGTTCGACAAGTTCTCCTTCGCAGCAGGAAGCCCTCTGTCAACACACAGACTGGGCCAAATGGAAGCGTTTCGCATGCTGCTGCCTGCAGCTTAATCTGGACCCTGTGGACTCCCTCCATTCTTCAGGTGTGGGAGTACTGGTGTCCCTAAAGCAGCAGACTTCATTGCATAAGGTGTACCTGGTGGCTCTCTCTGCTGTAACAAGATGGCTTTTCTGTAGCCATATCGGAAGGCCTAAACTAAAGTTGCGTTCTGCAGCCAGACTGAAGAGCAGCTCTTAGCTGTAAAGCCTGGAGTCACATCCTCGCATTCCGTCGAAATGGCATGAAAATAGTCACACTAGGCTGTGAGAAGGGTCCTGTCCTAATGGGCCCACTGTCACCAGATAACGAAACCGATCTCAGGGTGGGTAAAGAAAACTGAATTCACAGCATTTCGTCTGGCGAGAAACTGCTTAGCAGTCATTGTGGCTGTGGAATCCACATGCTATGATCATTGTCCTCACTGTCCTGCTGTTTCAGTGCGATCTCAGTCTGGTTTGTCGCTGTTTCTGTCTGCTGCATAATTAATTTTGCTAGGTGTAAATCAACTAAGGTGGTGGGGTAGGATTGGTTAGGTAATTCTGTTGTGCTTGGTTAGTAAAATTACACTAAAATAATTGGCTATGGTCTAGCTAAGCAGGATTCAGGTTTCACTATATAAACTGGGGTCCAAAAAGTAATAGAAGCAGAAGGAAAGAAGCAAAAACCTAGAAGAGCAAAAAAGAAACAAGAATAGGAAGGAAGACCAAGAAGAAGGGGGAAGACCTGGAAGAAGAACTCACCTCTAAGACCAGCCTAACATAAGAGCTTCCAGGACTCCTCTGCATAACGGTGATGTGCAGCAGCTGGATCCAGAGACTGCCCTTGCCTGGCCAGCAGGGGACGTCTGCCTGCCTGTACCCGGATTGGTGAGCACGACACTGTGTGCGTAGCAAGTGTATTCTGCTTGCTTGGGAATTGTCAATAAATAGAGGGTAAGACTATTACTGTGTGAGGCTCTTTTAGTGGCTAAAGATCCTGCCGACCCGCAGGAAGTTCCGCCCTGAGCCCTAGGAACTGGGTAAGGGTGGGCGACCCCAAAGTGTGGAAGGGATCGAGAAATTTGTGCGGGTAACACTGCTTTCCACCCCTGGTCTGGCACTCCTTCCAGGATATGGAACAGACTCCATCCCCCACCTCAGTGCTCTGCCCCTACTTGAGATCTCAACCTGGTCCTCTCAGTGCCACATGTTCCCTGCTTTACCTGCTATGGAAGGTGGCTTTTCTGGTTACCATCACCTCTGCTTGGATGGTTTGGAGCTTTGCTCCCTGACGTCAGACCCCTGGTACACTGAATTCCACAGGAGACAAGATCCATCTCCCCGCCCTCAGCTGGCTTTTCTTCCAAAGGTGGTTTCAGCTTCCTAACCAGGCAGGGCATTTTCCTTCCCCTGCTCTGTCCTAAGCCTCATCCATGCTCACGGGAGCCAGGACGTGCTCGCTTTCTTCATCGACCAGACCAAGCCCTTTTTCAAGTCCTCGCAGCTTTTTGTGCCGGTGGCACGTTGTGCAGAGGGACGGCCGATCTCGTCGCAGCGCACCTCTTCCTGCATGGCGTGCTACGCTCGGCCACGGCTCCTCGCCGCCTCTCACGGCGCATTGGACGCATAGGGCACGGCGTGGCCCTCGCGCAAACCTTCCCGTCACACTCTGCCATCGTGCCACGGCCCAGACAGGACACGGTTCTCCAGGCAGCCCTGCGCTCCGACTCCTCCGGGTAAGGCTTGTGAATCCGCTCACTGGAGTAGGTGGGAGCACGCGCTGGAAGAAGAAAACACGGCGACGCCCCTTTGGAACGGTTGTTCATTGAGCTGTGTTGCTCCTGTCTGTCCCTTGCCCACCCTGCTCCCCCGCTGTCGCAGACCGGACCCACTCCACGGGCCTCCCCAGCCGACCTGACGGGTAGCGGCTAGGGAAAAGCTTTGCGGCCGCCGTGCACGCATCCTGGGCACCTCCCTTGGAGTAGCGTGAGCGGCATCTTGAACACTGGTTTCAGAGGCGAGTGAGCGTTTTTCCTTCAATGCTCTATGAGGCAAATAGGGAAAAATCTGTAATCACTTTTTAAAATTCTAAACGGAGGACTCTGTTGAACCAAGTATGTGAATGTGAGCACCCTGCCCATCACCCTTGATGGTGGTGTTTGATACCAACTGCAGCCAGTTTCTTTCGCACTGCCTTCCCGCTCTTGCAGCATGCTGCAGATTTTCACATTGAAAACACACGATTGTCGGAACTTGGGAAACTGGCAGCGGGAAAGCAGGGAAGTGGTTTGAGATGGTTGGGTTCCTGGACGGTGGTGGCTTTAGAGTGGCATTTTAGGGCATGTCTTTGCTACAGGCTGGAGTGAGGGGCAGCAGTCGATCCAGTGGGGGTCAATTTGCCGTGGCTAGTGTAGACGTGATAGATCGCCTGTGGAGTGCTTTTCCACCACGCTGGCACTGGACCAATGCGAGAGATGTGAGTGGAGTTGATGGGAGTGTCAGCTGTCACTACCGCAGTAAGCAGACTTAGGCGCGTCCACGTCAGCTGTGCTATTCGCTTGGCTGAGGTGGTGTGACTCGGGGTGACGGCCATGGTAGTGCAGGCGAGACTTGAGGCTGTGCCTACACAGTAAGTTACCTGGCTGTCATTTTTGTTCCCCGGGGTGGAATAATCCGTACTGCTGAGTGACATGAGTTACAGCGACCTGGGCATCCGTGTGGAGAGCACTGACCTCGTGCGGAGGCGGGACTACGCCAGTGGGCTCACGCTCTGCTCTTGCCATGCCATGCCCTCACCCGAAGCGCCGCAGCGGTACAGCTGAGTGTGGGGACACCCTGAGCGTCTGAGCTGCTTCTGTTCAAAACGGCGCTGACGCAGATGTTTGTTTCAGGATCACAATTATGGAGCACCTCCTCCTCCGACCCCTCCCGCCTCTCCCCCGGTGCAGACCATCATCCCTCGTGCAGAGCTGAACGGCCTGCACTCCCCTGACGAGGAGAACTCTGGGGATAGTGAGAGCTCCTCCGAGGGAGAGCCCGTTCCCAGCTGGTGTCACTGCACGCTTTCTCAAGATGGCTTCCTCCTCAAGTGTGACAAATGCAGGTAAGTGGGTGCGTCCGGGACGGCTCCTCTCGCTTTCCTTCGGCAGGTCTCGGAGGGGTGAGCGTCCTAGCGGAAGCGCTTTGCTAGTATTGGCCCTTGCAGGCACTGGGGGCTCGCGGTGTGGAGATGAGCGGTAAGGTGACACTCTTAGCCACCTGTGCCCACTGCGGGCACACACCTGGTGACCCCGTAGACACTTCAGCTGTTGATTCTCCTTTGCAGGGGAGTGAGCAGAGGGAAAGTGATCAGGCTTCGCCGCCGGAAGCAGGACAATGTGTCAGGTAATGCTGAGCAGTGATGGCGCTGTTGTCTCTGCCCGCAGGGCCAGCAGGTTTTTGTTGCTGTAAGTAGCAAATCCTCAGGACGGAGCACCAGCGGGTGTGCAGACAGACAGCAAGTTGCTAGCATGAGTAGGGCTGTAATAGTGGAGTCGATTCGCTGATTAACCAGTAAGCAAAAGCTTATTGGTTAATGCTATCGGCAAAATGCATTTCCTTTCCCTCCCCCACTCGCACATTTTATAGCAGGCTGGCCAGAAGCCTAGCTCAGTCCTGGCTTGCTTTGTGTCCAGGGCCTCCCCTTGCTGTGGCTCTGCATTTTTTTTATGGAGCTATCCCTATCTCACAGACCTGGAAGGGGCCTTGAGAAGTCATCGGGTCCAGTCCCCTGCCCTCACAGCAGGACCAAGCACCATCCCTGACAGATTTGCCCCAGATCCCTGAATGGCCCCTCAAGGCTTGAGCTCCCAACCCTGGGTTAGCAGGCCAATGCTCAAACCACTGAGCTCTCCCTCCCCAATTTAAAGTGTATTAGGAGCCAGGCGGGCAGACAGCCCGGCTCAGTTCTGGCTCGCGTGGGCTCCAGGAGCTGACACACCCCCCGCCCCCAATGGGCTGCTACCACCCCATGCTGTTGCCTCTTTCACAGACAGCAGTGCAGGGCGGCAGGCAGCCGGTCCACAAGGGAGCTGGTTTTTAAACCGGCTCCACTTGCAGATCAGCTCCTGCCTGGCTGCCCAAGCTGCTGCCTCTGATGCCAAGTGACAGAGGGCTCCTCGGAGCGGGGCCCGCTCTGGGGACTGTGGGCTAGTCGACTAACCAATAAGAATTCCCGAGGTTAGTGAATTGCTACGGTATACCCCTAAACGTGCTGCTCCTCCCTGCAGGTGGAGACAGTAGTGCCACGGAGAGCTGGGATGAGGAGCTCTCCCCCTCCACAGTGTTGTACACTGCCACACAGCACACCCCCACAAGCATCACGCTCACTGTTAATCGAGTGCACAGAAACAAGCCGAAGAAGAGGAAGAGGAGCATGGAGAAAGCTCGCGCTGCACCGAAGGCCAAGAAGGTCAAGGTATGTGAGCGTGGGGGAAGAAGCCCGGGCCAAATTCTAGACACAGCATCCGTGTGGTCAGCATTCCTCAGTGGGTCACCCTTGGCTTACTCAGAGTGAGCAGTGCCAGCGTGGGCAGGCAGACTGTGGCCCCCCTTTCGGAAGTGCTCGCAGTCCCCAGCCTGGAGCTTTCAGACTGATCTGCACTTGCCATTGGGGCTCAGGTTTGACGGTGAGTTTTGCAAGGCACCTCGGTTCCCCTGCTGGCTTGTCTGAGTTGGGAAACTTCTTGGCAGAGGGCTGCATCGAGTGTGGCAGCGTCTTCCTTGGCAGGACTGAAATGAGTCTGTCTCTGGCGTGCACTGTGCGTCGGGGCAGCCATGGGCAGGGCTGCTTCGCAGGGGGCGCGAGCTGAGTCTTGGGATGTGACCGTGGGACTCCAGCAAGTGGGGGGTGCTATGTACAAATCTAAAGTCAGGGCATAACTATTGATGGGCTCTGCTCTCTTGTTTTGAGCACAGGCCTTTCGAGAGGGCTCCCGGAAATCCCTGCGGATGAAGGTGAGTAGAACTGAGCTGTCGGCATGAGACTGTCATTCTCTCAGCGTTTTCCCCTGATTTCTGTCTGAGGCTCCCTGATTCTAGCACTCGCTGCTGGAGAAGCCCGGACCTCTCCCCGACCACAAAGGAGCCTTTTCGGAGTGGGTGTAAGAGAAACTTCCTAGAGGCTGGTGATTTCTGCTCGCACCAGAGAGGATTCATCAGTTTATCTCTGCTGGGTAACCCAGCCTACCACCCAGGGGGAGCTGATCAGTGAGGCCGTGAAGAGAGTTTTGATGTGAGGACGCAGAATTGTGTGTTGGCCCAGTATCTAGCCATGTAAGCTGTCATTTGAGCCATCTAATCTCATGTACTTGTAAGGTGCCCATCACTTTGGTTTCTAAGACCATAGAAGTGTAAACAGGATTGGGATCTGTAACATAAATGATGCTATTCCTCTCCTTGCCCCATGAGCTGGGGTGGAGGAATGTAAGCATCCTTGTGGGGTTGATAACGGTTGTCTGACAGGTACCATTTTGGGCGAAAGAGTTACATTCAGACCAAAGTGTGGTCATAAAAACCCAGGAGCATTTATCCTACCAGATAAGATCAAAGTTCATCTGTGATGTACCAGGGTACAGTCTAGACTAATGAGTCACTGTGTCAACCCCTGCCCTGCAGCTGCGGGTGCCTTCCAGTCCCTTGCTGAAGGAGTTGCACTTGGGCTGTTTGAGCATACGAGCCGCATGAGTATCTGTGTGCAACTGCAGCTTGGCTGTCATGCTGGGGTTACTCTCTGGCTCTCGCCAGCCTTGGTTATATTGAGGTGATCCCAACACACACCCAGCCTTAGATCCCTCCATTCCCTGACCACCAAAACATATGTCCTGTACAGCCCAGCCCGCTCCTCAACAATACCTTCCGTTATCTCTTGGGGTGTGTCTAGACTACAGGGTTTTGTCGACAAAACTAGACCTGCATCCACACTGCCTTTGAGTTATGTCGACGTATGTAAACCTCATTCTCCGAGGAATAACGCCTTTTGTTGACAGAGTTCTGTCGATAGCAGGCATTATTGCATCTACACTGTCCTTTGCGTCCACACTGTTATGTCGACAAAGTGGCTTGCTTTGTCGACAGAACTGGATGTAGTCTAGACGCTCTTTGTCGACAGAAGCTTTGTCAACTGTATCTGTCGACAAAACCCTGTAGTCTAGACGTACCCTTATAGACATATGGGCACTGCTTGCCATCCCAAACAGAGTGTCCCAAACACTTCGGTCCAAACACTGAGCTAGATGAAACAATAACATCCATTTTATTAACTACAAAGAGAGAGGGATCAAGTGATGCGCAAAAATCAGCCAAGGTTATAAAAGTTAAAATGCTACCAGTGTCTAACTTCATAAACTGTAGCAAAGTCCAGGGCAGTTTCTCAGCATATGCTTTAGCAATGTTACCACATTTCTTGGAAAAACTTAAAAAAACCAATTAATAGTCTTGCAGCACCTCTTAGGGTATGTCTACACTACAAAGTTAATTAGAACTAACAGACATTAGTTCGAATTAACTTTCATAGGCGCTACACTAGCGCTCCGCTAGTTCAAACTTAATTGAGACTAAGCCTAGTTCAAACTTACTAGTTCGAATTAAGGGGTGTGTAGCCCCTTAATTCGAACTAGTGGGAGGCTAGCCCTTCCCAGCTTTCCCTGGTGGCCACTCTGGCCAACACCAGGGAAACTCTATTGCCCCCCTCCCGGCCCCGGACCCCTTAAAGGGGCACGGGCTGGCTACGGTGCCCGTGCCAGGTGCAAGCCTGCCAGCACCCAGCC